AAAACAAAAAAGTAATAAAGAAATAACTTCGAAAATAGGAGTTGTATGGCTAATAACTTACTTAGTTTTGGTCAAATTTTGAAAAATTCAAAACCAAACAATAGTCCATAAATTTGTCCAACTTCTGCCTTTTGTTGCCTCAAAATCGTTTAAAAACCATGGAAGATATAAAAACTCCCACTTTTATAATGGGAGCTCTATGGCTCATAACTCGCTTACTTTGGCCGTATTTCGAAAAATTAAAAACTGGTTAAAACACCATCAGTTTCTCTAAACTCTCTCTCTCTCTAAAGAAATAACTTTGAAAATAGAAGCTCTATGGCTTAGGACTCACTTAGTTTTGGTCGAATTTTGAAAAATTCAAAACCAGCTTGGTCTTGGCTTACTTGTAGAGCTGACTGTAACAATTATATTATATTCTTTTCCATGTCGAATTCTACTTGAAGATCCATTTGACTCTAATGTTTTTGCACCAATCAAGGCATAAGAAACGAAAACAAGATAAGCAGACGTTGCGCCAGGCAGTAAAAATTAAACCAGCGTCGCAGAAAACCAAACATACAAGACAACATACACAAAATTATGAATTAAATAGAAATCAAAGAGGCAGGGGGACTAAAAATTTAATGGGGGCACTTGAACAGAATTCTGAAAGAGAATAGAAAGGATTTTTCGAGATCTAGAATGGAAACAGGCAAAGAATAAATTTGGAGCTAAAGCAAAAGTTACTATAAAAAGTGAACGACAATAAATTATACGCCAACTTATACACTGTTCTTATTTTGGCATCTACCATCAACACTGTGTTGTCTAAAATGAATTTACTAACTAAATCAATGAAAAGCAATTAAAGCTTATTCAATTCACTTTACATGCGGTAAATGCGGCAATTTGATATAGTTTGGATATTTTGCTTGAACACTCAATTGCGCCCTAAAGTTCTGCGGTCACAATGTGGCAGATCCTATTGATTGATTCGAACAAGAGCTTATTTAAGTCCAGAACAATACGTCGATATGACTAACACTAGCGGTTTGTGTAATGCGCCCTGCACATTGCCATCTAACATAACTGCAAGCCGAACTATAATTGAACAGTCTCCATTGTCCGTTTTCCAATTGGACGATGGTCGATTTAATTACTGTCCCATTTGCCAATTATATATCGATAAATGTTGATACCCG